CAATTACTGCATTATTACTTTAGAATATGTGCATGACTGGTTATTGTTTCAAACTGGCTGTTCTTCATACCATTTCCTCTCGCAACCACCTCCTGTTGTTTCGAGGCTATTAATATAAACATACGGGCCTAATGGATGTGCATGCATCTGACGAAGTGAGCTCTGACTCCACAGAGTTTGTTTCAGTACATGGTTTTGTGAGTCCAGTGACACCCTAAAGACCCTGCTTAATTTTATAAGCAGCCTAAGAAAAGAATGTCCAAAAATCGGATACTTCTGTATCAGTCCCATTAATCTTTAAATAACCTTACATAACTTCCCTGAATGGAGCTTGAACATAAGAGAAGCCATATGGGATCAGGCCAATGGCCCAGCCAGTTCAACACTCTGTGTCACACAATGGCCAAAACTCCAGGTGCCCTCAGGAGGTCCACCAGTGGGGCCAGAACTCCAGAAGCCCTCCCACTGTTGCTCCCCAAGCCCCAATTTGATCACCAAAATAAAGTTAATCAATGTTCACAATTTTGAGCCAGTTTGGTGTAGTGGTTAAGAGTGCAGACTCATGGGAAAACCGGGTTTGATTCCCCACCCCACCACAGCTGCTGGTGTGACCTTGGGTCAGTCACAAGTTCTTTCAGAGCTGTTCTCAGCCCCATCTACCTCACAGGCAATGCTCCCTCTAAGCTGTGGAGTCTTGTGAGCAAAAATTCTACTTTGTAAGCCACCGGCATTAGAGCTGTGAGCGAGCAATTTGGCTACTGCATAGTTTGTTCTGGAGCCGTCCTTCCTGAGCCGAGACAAAAATGTGTGAGCTGGAGGCTAAAAAACTGTGAGCTAGCGCACACTGACTCAGCTTAGAGGGAACACTGCTCACAGGGTGTCTGTTGTGGGGAGGGGAAGGGGAAGGAGATTGTAAGCTGCTCTGAGACTCCTTTGGGTAGTGAAGGGCGGGGTATAAATCCAATCTCTTCTTCTTGTGTGTGGGGATACCATTTCTAGTATATGCATAATCACTTTTATCAGCAAGCCTCATAGATGAGTGTTCGCCATTGTGGCTTCCACCTTGTAGAATGGCCTGCTTGAGGTGCTCAGGAAAGCTTTATCCTGGCCTTTCGCACACTGAACTATTCAAGAGGGCTTTTTGTGTGCAGGTTGCACTATACAAAACAGTTTTACAAACTCACTTGGAAAAATTATTAGGGACTGTGGTCTATATACTATTGTGTATAGCCAGGGCTTTTTTTGTAGAAAAAGCCCAGCAGGAACTCAATAGCATTATAGGCCACACCCAACAGCAGAAACTCATTAGCATATTAGGCCACACCCCTGACAGCACAGCTTATTGGCATATTAGGCCACACCCCGGGAATGGCACGGGCCGAGAAAGGCAGGGGAGTGGCTCTGCAACGTACCTCCCGGCTTCTTGCTCCTTGTGGCCTGACTGAGGGCTGCTGGGAGCAGGGGGCGGGGCTTGCTGCATGTGCCCACCCCCTGGGCTTGGAAGCCAGCCGGAACTCCGTTCCTGTGCGTTCCTGCCCAAAAATAGCCCTGTGTATAGGTTATTGCATGTAGGATCCTATGTGTGTAATTTCTGTACCGCTTAGTGTGTTATGTGAATACTTATCCTATGCTTCAGTTCCTTCTGGTAGTTCCAGACTTCTAAAATCCTGATGCGTTGGTTACTGAATGCCTCATTTTTGTGAATGTACTGGCTATGCACATCCTAACTGTAAGAGTGGTTGAGCAGTGGAACAGACAGACTGCCTCGGGAGGTGGTGGATGCTCCTTCCCTGGATGTTTTCAGGCGGAGGCTGGACGACCATCTTTCAGGTATGTTGTAGGGCTATTTTTCGGCTATGCTCCTGGAGAGTGCAGGGGGCTGGACTAGTTGACCTGCAAGGTCCCTTCCAACTCTTAACATTCTGAGATTTTCTATGATTCTATGTGCAATCCGCCTTGAGTCCCTGTGAGACAGGCAGACTATAAATAATGTAAATAAATAAAACAGGTAGGGGCTTCTGTCTGTAGAGAGAGCCAGCTGTGGTGTAGTTGTTAAGAACGGCGAACCAGGTTTGATTCCCCACTTCTCCATATGCAGCCATCTGGGTAGGGTTGCCAAGTCCTACCTCAGGAATAGCGGGGGGATTCCCAGATGTCTCCTGGAGTCTCCTGGCGCACGCTTTGCGCGCATGCCACAATCACGTCACCCGGAAGTGACGTAATCGAGTTGGGCACGTTGGGGGCAGGACCACAATCATTCGAGGGGAAACCATAGAGTTTTCCCTCGGATGATAGAGCATCCCCCCGCAACATGCCCGACGCAATTGCGTCACCTCTGGGTGACGTGTTCGGCCCAATCTCTCTGCCAGCGGGGAACGGGCTTCTCAGGCGGGGATTTCCCCGCCCCCCAGGGGGACTTGGCAACCCTACATCTGGGTGACCTGGGGTCAATCACAGTTCTCTCAGCCCCAGCTACCTCACAGGGTGTCTGTTGTGGGGAGAGGAAGGGAAGGTGATTGTAAGCCACTTCGAGACTCTTTAAGGTAAAAGGAAAAGCAGGGTACAAAAAACCTACTCTTTTTCTTCAACTGCTGCCCTGAAATAAAGACAACACCTCAGAATACAGAGAAAGTATGAATTACTGAGCATTCAAAGTGTTTTCCCCAGACTTAAGAATTTGTTTTTCTCCCTACAAATAAAAATCTTAAACCTGATACCTTCAAGAAACCCACAAGCAGATCATAAAGGCAACAGCCCTCCATTTCTGTTTGTTCCTGAGTGACTGTGTTTCAAAAGTACACTGCCTTTAGCGGTGTTCCCAGCTATGTTGTTGTTGTTCAGGCGCACAGTCGAGTCTGACTCTTCGCGACCCCATGGACCAGATCACGCCAGGCCTTCCGGTCTTCCGCCGTCCTCTGAAGTTGGCTCAACTTCATGTTCGTTGCATCTATGACAGTGTCTAAGCATCTCATCCTTTGCTGTCCCGGTCTTCTTTGACCTCCAATCTTTCCCAGCATCAGGGTCTTCTCCAGTGAGTGCTCCCTTCTCATTTGGTGGCCAAAGTATTTGAGCTTCAGTTTCATTATCTGGCCTTCCAGGGAACAGTCAGGGTTGATTTCTTTTAGGATTGACTGATTTGTTCTTCTTGCAGTCCAAGGGACTCTCAAGAGTCTTCTCCAGCACCATAGTTCAGAAGAATCTATTCTTTGGCGCTCGGCCTTCCTTATAGTCCAACTCTCGCAGCCATACATGACTACTGGGAATACCATTGCTTTGACCATGCGGACTTTTGTTGGCAGGGAGATGTCTCTACTTTTTATTATGCTGTCAAGGTTCGCCATCGCTTTCCTCCCAAGGAGCAGGAGTCTTTTAATTTCATGACTGCTGTCACAGTCTGCGGTGATCCTGGGATCCCAGGAACGTGAAGTCTGTCAGTACTTCCACGACTTCCCCTTCTATTTGCCAGAGTGATGGGGCCGGATGCCATGATCTTAGTTTTTTTGATGTTGAGCTTCAAGCCCACTTTTGCGCTCTCCTCTTTCACTCTGAGCAAGAGGCTCTTGAGGCCCTCTTCACTTTCTGCTATTAGAGTGGTATCATCTGTATATCTGAGGTTGTTGATCTTTTCCCCAGCAATCTTAATTCCCGCTTGTGATTCATCCAGGCCAGCATTTCGCATGATGTACTCTGCATATATATTAAATAAGCATAAAACCCATAAAAATAAAACCCAGCTATGTACCACTGCAAAAACTATCATTGATTATTTTAGGTAAAACACCTCATACGGGCAGCAAATTAAACTAAGTATTGTTGCAAAGAGTCTGCTACCAGGTCCATCAGAAAGCCAGCATTAAGCAGTGATTTATTAGGCTAGATAATGAAGTATTTTTGAAAAACAGAATAATCTTTTTTCCTCCATAAAACAATCTTCCTTAGCCTTGTAACTTCCTGGGTGGTTTCACAGGCAATGTTTTTAGACCCTAAAGATCATCGGTGTGAGGTGGGGAAAAGACACAGGGACAAAACATGTAGGGCGTCGAGTGTGAGCGTACCTCAGTGTTGCACTGTGCAGACCACTTTGGAAGCCATTTTGTACGTTCCCCTTTGTACAGATAACAACTTTGCGTATGAAAAGATATCAGTGCTACCGTCCATGTGATGTATATTTATAGCCCACCACAAACCCCATACCAGTTCTTTTAAAGCGGCCTTCATCCAGATACTTGTCATTTTACAAAAATACACTCTTCATGCCCTATTTTACCTATGTCAAATATTGTTGTTTTTGCAGCCTGTGTCTCACAAAGCAAACTCACTTGTTTAAAACCCAAACGTTCATTTTCTCCCCCCAAATAACACAACTCCCCCACCCCGCCCCTTAGAGAATAATCATTTGCTTAGTCAAAGTTATCCTTGTCAAACTTCTAAATCAAGGTTGGAGTACACCGGTTTCTTAATCATATTCTACAGAGAGTTGTATTTAGCCCATCACTTTCAGTGAGGCATCTGAATGCTACGTAGGATTGTACCCCACATGGTCGCATCCCCTCAGGGGATGTGAGGTGCCATAGCTGAGGCAGAATAGCTTGCCTGAGGCCTCCTAAATCAAAACAAAGATGCTATTTGAACAGGTTCACAGTCTCTTAGAGCCAGACTGGAGGTGATGTCGGAGGTCCATGATCAGATCTCTCGTCAAAATTTCCTAAATATATCAATTATGGGGAGGTCCTCTGATTTGGGCTGCCATGATGGTGGGGTGGGGTGGGGGGGGTAGGGGACCCATCTAGGACAGAAGCCTTCCCCTCTGTCCATTTCAGATAACCCACAATACAGAGCTGGTGTGAGGAGAAAATGGAGGAGGGGAAAAGCCATATATGCCACTCTGAGCTTGTTAGAAGAAGGGTGGGATGTAAAAGAATGTGAGAGAAGCCATGTTGGATCAGGCCAATTGCCTATCCAGTCCAACACTGTGTCACGCAATGACCAAAACCCAGGGGCCATCAGGAGGTCCACTAGTGGGGCCAGAACTCCAGAAGCCCTCCCACTGTTGCCCCCCCAAGTGTCAAATAACTGAGTTTTCCAGATGGGAATCAGCTCCCTCCGGAGGCACTGTTTACTCCCAGAAGGGGGAAATGTACATTTTCCCTGTTGGGGCAAATAGCATATCCTGAAAGCTGCATTATATCAAGAAAAGGGCAGGGGAAGGGGGGCAGAGATTGCATAGGGAAACAGTGTTAACATCTTTTGCTAGTAGCAGTCCAAATCAGCTTCTACCCAGCTGCCACTGGGTGAAAATTTGAGAGATATGTCAAGGACCTTCAATGTCTTCTTTAGTTAATCTGAGAGCCAACATCATATACTGGCTCCTGTGTGTTGCAAGAACACACTTGTATTTAACAAGATACGCTCCATCGTCATATCAGGCTGTCCCCCCACATTACTGTTTCTCTCCCACATGAGTTCTCTCATGCTTGTTAAGAATTGTTCTCCTAATGAAGCCCTTCCCGCAGTCTGAGCATTTAAATGGTTTCTCCCCCGTGTGGGTTCTCTCGTGCACAATGAGGCTGGAGCTCTGATTGAACCCCTTCCCGCAGTCCGAGCACTTATACGGCTTCTCTTCTGTGTGAATCCTTTCATGGCGGATGAGGCTCGATTTGTCACTGAAGCTCTTCTCGCAGGCCGAGCAGCTGTACGGCTTCTCGCCCGTGTGGATCCTCTCGTGCTTGATCAGGCTCGACCGGTCACTGAAGCTCTTGCCACAGTCTGAGCATTTGAAGGGCTTCTCTCCCGTGTGGGTCCTCTCGTGGTTCGTCAGGTTCGATTTCCTGTTGAAGCTCTTCCCACAGAAAGAGCAGTCGTAGGGTTTTTCTCCAGTGTGCGTCCCCTCGTGCCTTATGAGGTGCGATCGGCTACTGAAGCTTTTCCCGCAGTCCGAGCACTTGAATGGTTTCACTCCAGTGTGAATCCTTTCGTGGGTGAGAAGATGAGACCTCCGCACGAAGCTTTTCCCGCAAGTCGAGCATTTGTATGGTTTGTCTCCTCGGTGAGCCCTCTCGTGTTTATTGAGGCTCGATTTGTCACTGAAACGTCGTCCGCAATGGGAGCAGTTGTACGGTTTTTCTCCCGTGTGGATCCTCCTGTGTATGACGAGACTGGAATTCTGGTTGAACCCCTTCCCGCAGTCAGCGCACTTGAACGGTTTCAGACCGGTGTGCTTCATCTCATGGATAAGGAGGTTCGATCTTTGAACGAAGCCCTTGCCGCAGACGGCACAACCGTAAGGTTTCTGCCCCAAGTGGATTCTCTCGTGCGCAAGGAGGCTGGAGCTCTGAATGAATCTCTTGCCACAGTCTGAGCATTTATATGGTCTCTGTTCTCGGTGGATCCTCTGATGTCGAACCAGGGTTGAACTCTGGTTGAACCTTTTGCCGCACTCCAAGCACTTGTAAGGCCGCTGTTCTGTGTGGCTTCTCTCATGCCTGATGAGGCTGGAACTCTGGTTGAATCTTTTCCCACACTGCGAGCAGCTGTAGGGTTTCTCCCCGGTGTGTTTCCTCTTATGCCTGATCAGGCTGGACCCATCGCTGAAGCTGTTTCCGCACTCGGAACACCGGAACGGCTTTTCTCCCGTATGGATCCTCTCGTGGGTGCGGAGGTTGGATCTTTTCATGAAGCTTTTTGAACAGCGCGAGCATTTGTGTGGCTTCTCCACTGCGTTCTGTGTTTCTTGCTTGATAAGAGCTGGGTTAATGCTGATACTTTTCCCAAACCCTGAATAATACGGAGTTTCTCCCAGGTGGATTCTTTCACGGCCATCTCCTGCTGGAGGAAACAGAGACCCAGGACATCATACGCAGGTCTTTACCAGCACATTGTCAATCAAAAACAAACTCAATCAAAAACTAGCAGAAAGAGTTTAGTGTGGGGGTTCCTGACCTTGTTGAGTCTTTGAGTAGTTTTTCTGGCAAATCTCACAGAACGTTAGAAAGTTGCACACATGGAACCTCCTACTGTATCTCTGCAGACACCGCCTTAGAGAAAGGACAGGCAGCTAGAGGCCCCAGTGGCGCTCCATCTGGCCCCAGACAGAGTCCCTGTTCCCAAAAATTCTCTCTCTCATACACTGTTATGCTCCTCAGATGCTTTCTTCCAAGTAGGGAGGAAGGCAAAGGGTTCTTCAACCACATCCTCCCCAGGAGACAGATATAGTACCAGTTATTGGGAACAAACAACAGAGAAATGCTTCAGGCCCAGTTTACTGACTAGAATTTCATTCCATGCTTCCTCAGGGGGTTACATGGTTTCCCCCATAACAGCCCTGTCAGATAGATTAGGCTGGGAGATAGTGATTGGCCCACATTTATTTAATTCAATTTATTAATCGCCCAATCCCTGCTACTGCAGGGCTCTGGGCGATGTACAATATGAATAAAAACATACACTAGATAAAACAATTAAAACCGAACAGCACTTTTTAAAAACAGATGGCGAACAAATGAATCCCATTTCAGACTGCCATTGACTTCGTGGGCAGGGGGGAAGGGGTAATACAAATGTAGGGAGCGGAAGAGGGTGCCGGCCAAGACGGAACCTGTCGCTGTCCTCAACCAAAAGCCTGGCGGAACATCTCAGCCTTGCAGAATTTCATAAAGTCCCACAGGGGCCTGATGTTTCCACCAGGCTGAGAACAGCCAGATGTCTTTGGGGTCACGGACCACCAATAAGTTACTATCTCAAGAGCGCAACGCTCTCCTGGGGACATAACGGAGGAGACGGTCCTGTAGATATGTTGGTCCCTGACCGCTCAAAGCCCGTGGATGTTTACTCAGAACCAAGACCCTCTCGAGTTCAATGAAACTACGCAAGTAAGCCTACATAGGACTGCAACTTCTGTGAGCTCCGCAGAAGAGTGGGAATCTGGACTGGTTCTCCCCACTTGTGGCCCAACATTCTTCCCACTGCACCACATGGACACCAGTGAGAATGATGTGAGCAATCATGGTTGGGAGACGAGACAGACCCTTGTCGATCCAACCCCTACAATTCTTCTGCTTGTCAAAATGGTGCCGGTCCCTGTGACCTCTCTCACCTGAGTGGGCCCCGTGGAGTATTTTGATTCCCTCTGAGCCTGGGTGATACGGAACGCATGGCTCCTCTTCTTCCTCCAGCTTCACGATCACATCAGGAAGCTCTGAAGTGGGGACAGATAAACGAGGCTGAGGTCAGAAAAGATATTCCAGCTGCAGGGGAACCAAGTTCGGTGCAAACCCTGAAACATTTCCTAATGGGACTCAAGAGCCGGTCTGTGTGTAATGCCTCCCAAGTGACAAAGTCCAGTTTTGAATTTTGAATTTCCTTCCCAAGAAGCCAAGGAAAGCTGGAGGGGGAGGAGGTCCACCCACTAGG